GTCACTCCATGAGACAGTAATGTGGCAGCCTGCATCTGCACAGGCTGACAGCCATGAAAACCCTATGTGACAGATCTGCTTTATCCTGACGCTCACTGGCAGCGGGTATGATTAGTGTAAGAAAAAGCTCAAAACCCTTTCAATGATTCAGAGACTGCCTTGTGCAGCAGGTGAAGGTGATTGTGATGAAGAATTTGTTGTGAGTAGGGGTTGAAGTCTTGGTGGGGTGCTGTGGGTTAATGTGTGGGACTGCAAGGAGGTCAGTTTGAGCCACAAGATCGGCCCTTCAGGCTCACCAGCCGCTCCTCAGAAACCCTGTACAGGGGCGCTGTGAGTCATAACCAACAGCCTGGCACTTAACAACAACAACAAAGGGGTTGGTGTGGTGCTGTAAGATACAAGCACTGGACCACAAGGTTGGTTTGAATCGCAAGGTCAGTGGTTCAGACCCACAAGCTGCTACTCAGAAATCCTGTACAGCGGCACTATAAGTCAACTCCAACTCAGTGGCACTTAACAATAGCCGGGGTTGGTTCAGAAAGTTCAGAATGAGGGAAATTTGACATAACGTTAATGGGCATTTTAACCAGGGAATGCCTGTGCCTGACTTCAGTCACCCAGTGTGTTGCCAAGAAGGCTTCATAGAGCAGACAGACGGAAAGCGTGGAGATCACTCACTGTGTCTCAGCAGTGTAACTGATCCACAACAGAGAGATGTTCTGGAAGAAAGCAGAGCAACTGAGCCGAGCCGAAATCAGGAGAGGGTTTTGGTGGCATGATAGCCTGGGTGTGCCGTGTTACAGATTGCATGTTGTTTCATTGTTGTTTGTTGTTGGTAAGTGCCGTTGAGTCAGTTCCAACTCATAGCCACCCTGTTGAGGGTTTCCAAGGACTCTCTTTTAGTTTGAAACCTTTTCTTAAGCATTTACAATGATGGTCTCATATAATATTTGCCCTTTTGTGATTGACTAATTTCACTCAGCACAATGCCTTCCAGGTTCATCTAAGTTTATCACTTACTAATTCTGCCTTCCAGCAAACATATGAACATAATTCAAACAAGTTCTCTGCCACCGCATAAAAAGCATTGCCCTTTCTCCATTGCCTAATTACACTTATCATTTTCTTAGAAAGCCTCACGAGAAGCACATCAAATGCCTGCAGCATTCTGTTTCTGGAAGCATATGTATTCTCTAGGATGGCAGAAACTTTATCCAGCGCTCTCTTCACTTCCCTCTGCGCCCTCATCAGAATCTCCTTTTGAAGTCCATAATTTTACCAACAGTCTCTTCAAGGCATCCTAGGCTTTTGATATTGTTGTTGTTAAGTGCCATCAAGTCGGTCCTACTCATAGTGACACTTTATAAAATTTCCAAGGTGTGGCTGTTGGGTTTGAACCACCAACCTTTGGTTAGCAGTCTAATGCTTATCTTACAGCGTCACACCAAGACTTATGCTATTGTTGTTGTTAGTTCCAACTCATAGTGACCCTGTATAGGGTTTCCAAGGAGCAACAGGTGGATTTGAACTGCTGAACTTGTGGTTTAAAGTCCAGTGCTGATGCTACAGCATCACACCAGGACTCCTTAAGAAGCTTCCAGATTCTACCCTTTATTCAATTCTTAAACTATAGTGATGGTTACCAGAGGTGGGAGGGAGGGGAGAGTAATTTACTGGTTAGAACTGGTTAGAGGGTAGACACATGTTAGCTCAGGTGACAGGAGGGTAATATACAAGAAGAGGGAGGTAGATAGTGATATAGACACAATCTTGGAACAACAGTGTTCTGATCATAGATACATGGATTGAAACATAGGCTGAATGGGTAAGTGAGGAAAAGTGGGAGATATATGTTTGTATAGCCCACAAATATATGAGTTTAAAAGAGAAAAGAAAAAAAAGAAGAATCCTGGTTTGCCGGTTGCCAGAGGTGGGAGGGAAGGGATAGTAGTTCACTGACTACGTGAAGACCACCCAGGAGTAGAAACTCAGAAGTGGCAGCAACCTTCCTCCAGAGCTGATAGGGAAAGAGACCCTTCCCCTAGATTCAGTTCCCTCAGTTAGGACTCTTAAACTGTGAAGAAAATACATTTCTGCTTATGAAAACCATTCCCCTGTGGTGTCTCTGTTACACCAGCACCAGAGAGCTAAGACAATCCATGAATGGGACTTCCTCAAATACAGGAGGCAAGAGCATTGCAGATCCGTCATGTGCCAGCCACTCAGATGACAAACAGTTTTATCTTTGGCCTGCGGTTTTCCTCTTTTATTTATTTTTTGTGTGTGTGTTAAGTTTGTATTGTGAATTGAGTGAAAGTTTACAGGGAAAATCATCAATTTTACATTCAACAAATCATACACTTTGTTTTATTACAATGATTATAATCCCCTCCATGTACCATCAGTTAACAGTATTTCTCTCTAGTCATTTTAGCTCTTTTTTTTTTTTTTTTTTAAACACTCAGGCATATGTAATACTTTACATCACCAAAGGGCACATTCTGCAAGTCTGCCTTCTGGCTGCCAGCTCTCAGTCCCTCTCTTTGCATGAATCTAGAGTCCTCAGCTGCTCCCTCTCTCCATGTCCCCATCTCTGCCTCCATCTCTGGTGTCGCTGCTTCTCTGGAAAGGGTCCCGCATTCCACTTGTGCTCTTCTCCCTTGATGGTCCTTGGGTCCTCTGTTTCTGGACTGTAAGGTTAACTACTCCCCCATTTTGTTACAAAACTTCTTCCTTCACAATTGTGACAGTCGCTATTAGTCATGATATCAGTTACTCACTATTGAATCATAAGCATCTTATCCCCATTTTTTTTCAACAGACCCATCTAGACAGTGGTTGTTCTTCTTGAGGGAGATAATAGCTAGAGACAATGAAGAAAAAGGCTGATGTGATCATATAGGAGCAAGCATGCATTACAAAGGAGCATGGTGGCTCCATACAATAAGCACAGGACTTGTGAGCCACAAGGTCTGCAGTTCGAGCCCACCAGCCACTCTAGCAGGAGAAAGATGACACTTTCTGTTCCCATGAAGGTCCAAAGCCTTATGCAGGGTCATTGTAAGTTGGAACCGACTCAACGGCACTTAACAACAGCAATCTGCTATACAAGATCAGTGTTGGTGTTAGATCCAGAGAATTCATCTGTTCATGCCCCTAACCAGTTTTCCTCCAGTGTTTTCTCTCTACTGGTTGCCAAAACCAGAAATCTGGGTAATTCTCTTGTCTATTCTTTTTCTGTTGTGTCCCACATCTAACTAGTCACCAGCTACCATAATGTCTACTTTAAAAATTTCTCCAAGAATGCATTGACTTGTCTCTGGAACAGCCATTGGTTCTTCCCACTCTAGTCAGAGAGATCCTTATCAGTGCATAGCCGATCTTGCTAGTTCTGCTCAGCATGGTTCGTGGTCCTCATCATCCTTTAACTGAAGTTCTCCACATTGGCCATCACCTTCAGGACCATTTCTGCTCAATCTGTAGCTTGAACCTGGCACCATTCCCATCTTGGTGGCTTGTGCCCCCACCACTGAGCTTTGCTTTCTGCTCTCAGCTCTGCCAGGCTCTCTCAGCAACCCCCAGATCGTCTCAGCTGTTCTCTCCTCCACTTCTCTCCAGGTGTGTCCTTTGTTGTTGTTTCCAGGATAGATTTCTTGACTTTCAAGCCTGAATTTAGAATCCTTCCTGTGTGGACCTGCAGTAGTGTTGTTGTTGTTAAGAGCCGTCAAGTCAGTTCCAAGTCATAGCGACCCTGTATAGGGTTTCCGAAGAACAGCTGGTGAGTTTGAACTATTGACCTTCTGGTTCAAACTGGCCTTGTTATTCAGTGCTTTATCCTGCAGCACCACATAACTTGCAGTACTTGCCCAGTTATCAAGTAGCATTTTAATCACTTGCTTAATTGTGTCTTTCCTCTAATAGACTGTGAGTTTTGCAATGATAGAGACCAAGTGCAGACTCCCTTATCATCATATACCCAGTGTCTGACACAGTGCCTGACCTGTTGGAGGCGTTTATTGACTATTGTAATTAAGTGATGTAGAGTCAGTTCTGACTCATAACAACTCAGTATAGGGTTTCTGAGGAGCCGCTGGTGAGTTTCAGCCGCTGAGCTTGTGGTTAGCAGTGTGGTGTTTATCCTGCAGTGCCACAAATATTAGACCCACACATATCTAAGTACATAGTCCCATGTCCAGCACATATAAATACTCAATTGTTGTTGTTAGGGCCATCGAGTCAATTCTGACCCATAGAGACTCTGTATAGGGTTTCCAAGGAGCAGCTGGTAAGCTCGAACCACTGACCTTGAAACGCTGACCTTGCAGTTCAAACGACTTTGCAGTCTGACACATTAGCCCACAGCACCACACCAGGGCTGCAAAAGTACTCAATAGGTAATGGTAAAGTGTATTGTTCACAGTTTATTTACAACAGGTAGAGCTGTCATAGCCATAATACAGTCATATAAAATGATGCAAATAAGCCCTGATTAGGACTGCAAAGTGTCCACTGGATGTGGTAGATAAGAAGCTGTTGACTGACTTTTGCTAATAAACTCTTGAAAAGTGAAGCGGACAGAAGCCAAGGCAAAGCAGTTTGCGGAATAACTTCAAGGGCAGAACGTAGAGACCAAGGATAGACAATTCTGTAACAGTGACTGACTACAAAGGACCCTACCTAGAGAGGACAGTAGTTAAAGTAGCTGCAGGGTCAAGAGAAGATGGTTTAGAAACTGAAAAGAATGGTTCAGGTGTTCCCGGGCTCTGGATGAGGCCAATGTGGAGGCAGATATAGAAACACAGGCCTGGAATAGGATCAGGACTCTAAATAAAAGGGAAGGTCTTACACCTGAGAAAAGATGATGAACTAGAAAATGATGAGTGGGGTACAGGAACATGTGCAGTGGTCTGGGGAGAAAAGAGAATGTGGCTGATACAAGTATACTAAATTCTGGTGCACAAAAGTTTTAAACCTGTCACTCGTGGTCTTGTTTCTCACAGGTGTTCGGGGGACTTGTCTGGATTTTGGTTGCTTCCTCCAACGTTCCTCTACCTCTGCTGCAAGGATGGGTCATGTTTGTGTCTGTGACAGCCTTCTTCTTTTCCCTCCTCTTCCTGGGGATGTTCCTGTCTGGGATGGTGACTCAGATTGATGTCAATTGGAACTTCCTGGTAAGGGATCTTGATTTTAAGTCTGCTTCAGAAAGCTGTGGGAAGCTTATAAACATCGCCTTCTGTTCTGAAACACCCGATTTTGCGTTCTGATTTATTGGGTACCTCCAGTGGGAGAGAGAGGTCAGAATGCAGGGTCTGACCCAGTGCTCTGCAGGTCAACAGGATCCCAGGTGTTGAAATCCTCATGCTGATAGAGCGAGCGACTACTTATTGATTTTGATGACCTTTACTAAAAGACTGTTTTGTTTTCTACAACGAATGAGTTACATTACAGTCAAGGAACTATTGAACAGATGCCTTTGGGAGATGAATGTTGGAACACATATCTGGAAATTTTTCATTGGTTTGTACATTAGATGTTTAACATGCATGTATTCTCTTCAGAAAACCATTAATAATACCTTCTGCTTGCCAAACACATAGAAAGGAGAAGTGGATATTTTGTTTTTGTTATCAATTTCTGTCCTTTATTAACAAGAATTGATGAGTACCAATAAATGAATTTTCCTTTTACTTTTTTTTTTTTGTCATTTTTTTATTGTGTGAAAAATAGACCTTAAAAAACATACACCAAATGACCAATTTTTCTTCTAGATGGGCAACTACTCAAGAACAAATTTTTTCAACCAGCGCAATTTTTTAAATTAGGAGGCCACTGAATGGATCTAAAATATCACTAGAAGATCATAGAAGCCTTTATTAAGCAAAAATGTCAACATATGAAGCTACTATTTCTCGACTTAGTATTTATCTAGGTCGTCTTATTGTTAAGTGTTGTCAAATCAGTTCTGACTCATAGCAAACCACTCTGTATAGAGTTCCTAAGGAGTGGCTTGTGTGGTTAGCAGTCCAGTGCTTATCATGCAACTCCACACCAGGGCTTCTAAAAGTGGTGTTTCTATCTCTCTAACCCTTTCCCATAGAATTCTACTGCACTCTTGGATTTGTATCTCGTCAAACAGCAGTTTGGGCACCCTAAGAAGACTCAAATAGTATTCCTTTTAAAGATTTTGTTTTCAGTTTGGGAAACAAAATGAACTCCAAAGGGGCAGGATCAGGACTTTAAAGTGGATAGAGTAAGGTTTTCCAGTGAAGTCTCATTGTTGTTGTTAAGTGCCCTCGAGTCTGTTTTGACTCATAGTGACCCTGCTTAGGGTTTCCAAGGAGCGCAGCTGGTGGGTTTGACCCACTGACCTTGGGGTCAGCAGTCCAGTGCTTATCCTGCAGCATCATCTCACAGGACAGCCCTTTTTACATTCAAAGAATGAGTAGGTGCATTGTCAGAATGCAAACAATTCCTTACTGTAGTTTTCCTGGCCTTTTTCTCAACTATGCAGTTTTCAGTTTCCTTAAAAACTTCTTAATAATATGTCTCTGTGATCATCCTGAGTCCTTCTAGAAAAAAAAATCTGTCAAGATTTCCCTTTTGGAATGAGAGGAATAACCAAAACAATGGCCATAACCTTCTGAACTGACCAACCTCTGCCTTGAATTGAACTGGACAGCAGATCCCCTCAGAAGCTACTGTTTTGATTGGATTGTTTGTGAAGGCACTCTAATGAGACTAACACAAATACATTCTGAGAAAACTTGTCTGCAGCTATCCACTGCTCAGAAACATGGTTAAACATGTTTTGCTTGGAATAAACCCATGCATGTATGAACTGGAACCCTAGTAGCAAGACTTTTTGACGTGTGCTCGTATACTTGTTAGTACGTAGTCACTGCCCAGCTTGTTTCATCCTGCTGCAGGCTGCGCCATCTACCAACCTGATCCCTCCCTTGGGACCTTCCTGGCCCTTCCAATAATCCCAGCAATTAAAAGGAGCAGCTGATCAAGTAGGGATTCTCCAGCATCCTGCAGGGTCCAGAACTGTTTCAAGTTGGTGGTTGGTTGATGAACATGCTTTCCCAATGTTTAACTCTACTTTGAGTATCACTCCTGTTTGGATTCAATCTTTATGGTCACACCCTCTTTTTCTCCATTTGCATTTATTGAATCTGGCTCCAGACGATCAGCACTGGATTGCGAACTCTTAACGTCTGCAGTTTGAGCCCACCAACCACTCAGTGGGAGAAAGATGAGGCTTTCTTTCTGCTCCCTCCAAGATTTAAAGCCTTAGAAACTGTATACAGGGTTGCCTTGAGTCAGAACCAAACTGACAGCACTAAACAACAGCATGAGTCTTATCTGTGATATTAAGTACAATAATTAGTATCCTTATTTGTTTATTAATTTTCCTAAATTTGTATTACCCCCGGTTTATAGCAATGTGTCTAATGTGTCCTGATGATAAAATTCAGGAGTTTTCTTTGTATTGTTTGACACCACGATGTAAGAGAGATCATTGAAGTTAGAAAGAACCCTATCAGTTCTATAGGTTGTCTGTAAAGCTTTCCCTGTGGGTTTTCAACTGGAGCAGCCCAGTCTTGTCCTTGAGGGGCACAAGCAATTAAGTGTTCAACTACTAGCCAGAAGGTTAGTTCAAACCTTCCCAGATGTGCGTGGGGAGACAGACCTGGTAATCTGCTTCTAAAGCTTTGGAAACCCTCTGCACACAAGAGGTTGTCATGAGTCAGAATTGATTTGATTCTGAAAACAGCAGTCCTCTCACTAAGAAACAATGCCGATAGCAACACTCACGCCATTGGAAAGTGGTTGTCCCTTCTTGGTGCTCATCACATGGTGGGCATATAAGAATGTTTTAAAAGTTCGTAGAAAATTTCCATTATCTTTTAATTCCAGTGTTCCACACACACTATTTGAATCCCTCTTATACTTTAGAAAGCCAACTCTTGATCTCAAGGAGTTTATTTAAATGCCTACCCTATTTGGAAATAATAAGTTGGGTGGGGTGTTGTTTGTTTGTTTGTCTCTCTCTCTCTTTGTGATTTTCTACATACTCAGTCATCTTTGATCACATGATTTACATTCATAGGCTTTGTGATATCAAACACTTCTTACACTCTCGGTCAGGAAAATTGACAAGTAAGACATCTCATGGAGTTGTCCCCAAGTGGTAACACATAATTGCTGCATTCCAAAATTGTGAAAGATCGATTGTTCTCCCCCTCTGGTGATAATTTACTGCAGCCTCTATGCCGTGTGTGGAAGAAGCTAGAATGCATTTTGATAAAGAATTTCTCTTCTAAAATGACTTGTTCTGGGAAATTGACTGTAATGTTTCATCTAACTGTCATTGATCAGGAGATTAAATGAACATTCCTGATACAGCTGGTCCAGCTTTCCCCCAAGCTTTTTAGCTTTAGTATCAATGGTGAAAGAAAAGATAATATGCAAAAACCTAAGTTAAAAATTTGCCCTGTTCTTACTGTGTAACAAGAAGCATATTTTAGTTTGCAAGTGATTTTTGTTTTTTCTTGATAGTGGTTTTTTCTGGAGAGGGAAGAATACCATTTTGCCTAATTTGAAACAAGAGATGCCATATTTATATACTCCCTAAGAAAGGGGGTTAAGAACAGATAGTTTAAAAAATGAGAGTTATTTTTAAAGTCTCCCTGTATTCCCCAAGAATGTCGTTGGCATACATTTGATTATAATCCTCCCTTGCCTGTTCTGGATGTCACTCATTTAATATCTTAAATGTCCTGAGCTATATTTACTGTTCCCCCACATTTATTTACAGCCTAAGAAACCCTACACAGGGTCGCTGTGAGTCGGAACCAACTTCACGGCACATAATCCCCACCACCATCACATTTATTTACTCATTTGATGTTTATGACAGTTCTTTACAGAAGATAAGTATTCTTGTCCTCATTTTTGCAAAATAAGAAACCTGAAGCTCAAAGTGGCGGTTGTCCCGTTTGTGGCACCATAGAATATGTACTCGACCTCAAGGTTGGTTTGAATTGCAAGGTCAACAGTTCAAACCCACCAAGTGCTCCCTGGAAACGCTATAGGGTCGATATGAGTCGGAACCCACTCAACAGCACTTCATGGCAATAGCAACAACAGTGTGTAAACTAGGAGGCTCCTGTAGACAGCTGGGGAGTTTTAATTTATCAGTAGAAGCTGGGTTCTGATGCTGAGAAGCCAAGGGTGACCTCAAGATAGGAATGGGGCTTGGGAATAATTGTGTATATGTTGGTGAATAAAATATGACAGGAGGGACAATACTCTGGAGTGTAGGCAGTGAGAGATTGTGAGAGAACCAAGGCTATGTGTAGGGCATGTCCCCCAGTAAGTAGGGTGAGCACGAACTTCCCAGTGCTTGCTTACTCATCTGTAGTGAACAATTCAGCTCAGCCCAGGATTACCTTGTTTATTTGGTAATCACCCCCGGCACCAAGAATGTGGATGAGGTCATCTGTGAAAGGGAGAGTGCCAAGAGCTTAGGACAGTGACTCAAAGGGTGGTCCCTGACCACCAGCAGCACCTGGGAACTTGTCTGAAATGCAGATTGTGCTGCAGTGAGCTCTTGCATGTCACTTCTAGCCGTGGTCTATAAACTCCCACCAAAAAAAACTTCCTGGTGGGCCTGAGTAAGAGAAGCGGGAGAGAATGCTGATGGATCATAAAATTCAGTTGTAAGATTTTTTAACAGGGCTAAGTGTGATACAATTTGAGCCTGCCAGCTGCTCTGTGGGAGAAAGTGAAGCTTTTTGCTCCCACAAAGATTTAAAAAGCTTCGAAACGCTATACAGGATTGCTGTGAGTCAGAACCCACTCGAAGGCACTTAACAACAACAGTGGTGACTGGTCAGTGTTGCCATCCTTGTTGGGTATAAAATGGACCATCTCAGCAGCAAAGTGGGGAATCTTACTACCATCTAAGGAGAGCCAGGAGTGGAGTGCATCTGTTTGGACACTGATATCCCTGTACATGGAACCTCCTGAACTCAGGGACAGATGACCTGTGACACTGGAGAGTGGCAGAGGAGCCACAGAGGAGCCCCAGCAGCTGCAGAGCCAAGCCCAGTGCACGAGAGAGAGGTGTAAAACTCAGCCCACAGAGCAATAAAGCTGAGTGACTTTGGGTTTGCAGAGTGAGGAGCCTCGAGCACCTAACTGGAGGAGCTAGGCTTGCTGACCAACAGAGTTAGAGCTGAGTGCCTTCAGGCTGAGACTATGGTGGAGAAGAGTTCGCTGTAAACATTAATAACCAGCGGCCCTAAAAAAGCTTCGTAACATTCACTGGACAGAGGGAGGCCTACCTGTGGGCACAGCTGGGGAGAAGCTGCCCTGGCTAGAAGAGCTGTGCCCTGAACGTTTCTAACCCTGAATTGAAACCTGTTAGTATCCCTGGTGAAGCCCTTAAGTGTGAGTACGGTGTCTGAGTTCTGTGTGGCCATGGCAATGGATGATGGAACCTAACTGAGTAGACTTGCTGTAGGAGGAATGGTGGTACTATTTTCTGCACTTGGCTTCCATGCAGATGGCTCTGTCCGAAACTCTGTATAAGGTCCTGTAGTGCCACAAATGCTCCAGGGGGTTCAGATGCACACTAACCCATGAGGACCACTGATTTTTAATGACTAGCCTGGCTGTATGTTCAGAAAATGTATTGCGTGGCAGCCCCAAGAAGTAAGAGTGGACCAAAAAAGTCTTCAGACCAGAACAACTTATTTCTAATAGCCCTGAAAAGAAGGAAGGAAACAACCCTGGGCAGGAGGAATACACAAGCAGAGATGTGCAGGCTGTAATTGGTGTTGAGAAGAACCTTTTCAGACAGAGACAATACCATGTGTAAAGGCGATAAGCTTTCCGACATAGAGTGCTGTCTGTTGTTAGGTGCGATCGAGTCACAGAGCCCTCGTCAGGGTTCCTAGATGAAATGGAAGCAGATCATCAAGTCTTTCTGTCTCCCATGGAGCTGCTGGATGGATTCAAATTGCCGACCTTTCATTATTAGCTCAGCCCTTAATCATTCTGCTATCAGGTCTCCTAAGGACCAAAAGGAGGCCAAAGTAGCTGTTGTTTAAAGAGGTATGCGACCAGCATCAGATGAGACTGGGGAGGAAGCCAAGGGCTAGATCATACCAAAAGTTGTAGACTGTGACAGAATGTTTTCCTTCCCTCTGAAAATAAAACAAGCCATTTCTGAGAGTCCACGTCAGTCAGTTAAATACCTAACGATCCCAAACATATTTTCCCTTCATTATGATTGCTAATTAAGACTCAGCTTTATTGTATTTAATCCCTAGAAGTAGTGACATTTGAATTCGCATTTTGACTTTCACCGCTACCATCTGCTAGGCATTTCCTAAGTGTACCATTAGGAAAATGGTCCAGCATGTACCATTTTTCCTAAGTGTTTTGAAGACATTGGTAGTTCAGCTTACAAATGACAAGTGTTAAGTAGAAAGAACACCGTTAGTACTGTGCCTTTGTAATTCTTACCCCTGGTTAGTTCAGTTCAGCCTCGCAGATTATTCTAGATATAATAGAGCAATTCCAGTGGGTGCCATTGTTTGTTCACATGGGCATTTACAAAGACAGTGTGGTGTCCTGTGTTGTAATATTGCTGTATCAACAATAGAGGCAGCGTGATAGAAAGGAGAGAAAATGGACTTTGGAGCCAGACCTCTGTGGGTTTGTATGCTTCTTCTAAAAGTTCATCTCTGTGTGGTTTGGGAACAGTCATTGAACTGAAAAGGAGGAAGACATTTACTTCTTCGTAAAATCAGGATAATAACTGGTGGCTAAAAGGAAGAGTAATAATGAATGTAAATGCTTCATATTGGGGAGTCATTACCATCAGTAGCAATGTGTTGATGGTACATGAATACGGTGAGACACTGAATTCTAATAGTTAATGCCTTTTTTTCCCAGCAACATACAAAATAACGTAATAAACAACTAAGTGAGTTTTGTAGGAAAGATTTCCATACCTTTTTTCAATATGCTGGTAAATTCTGTGACTTTATAATCCAGCTGCATATTTCAGTATATGGGATGATGATCCAATGGATAAAATAATAATTACTCAAAAACAAAATCATTATAAAATGTGTACATATGTTCACTGTAGCTATAATAAAAAAATGTAATTTAAATTTTACTTGAATTTCAAGAACAGCATACATTACTTTTTTATTATTATATGAATAATATCAATCTCTGCGGCACCTGGATCCAAAGTAAAGTTATACATTTCATTAAAAATATGGGAGTCCCTGGTTGGTGCAGCTAGTTAATGTTCTCAGCTGATAACTGGAAGGTTGGAGGCACCTCAGGAGAAAGCCTTTGGAAAAATCAGCCATTGGAAATTCTGTGGAGCACAGTTCAACTCTGACACACATGGAATCACCATGAGTTAGAATTGACTCAGTGGTAACTGGTGTATGTGTTGTTTGGTTTTTCTTATAAAATTCAGTGTATCACAGGGAACATCATCTATAGCTTGATGGGGTTAGGTACTAATCAATACCTAACCTGCTAGATATGGAACCCTTTGGGGGAAGGTCTGATTTTTCTCCTTAGTTATCCCAAGTCTTCTTTAGTTTTTTAGAGTGCCAATCATAATGTCTTACTTATAGAACTCCTGGAGACCATGCATGGGAAGCATTGTCCTGTAGTGGGCACTTCTGTCCTTTCCTTTGGTTTTTTTCTTTTTCATCCATATGCTGCTTTATGAATATAACATAAAAAATTGGGGGGAGAAACAAACAAGATGGTGGATTGGATGGAAGTGCAGTAAGGAGCTCCATCAACAATAACACAGAATACCGGACCAAGCAGACTCGGGGGGTGGTCCCAGAACTCTTAACCACATATAAAGGAATATTTAGAAAGTTGGAAAGCTCACAGCCAGTAGAATTTATAGCAGAAGCAAGAAATCTTGCGCTTTCTAATCCAAGGCACTCAACTGCTCCCGGAGCCACCATCTTGGGTGAGACCGAACCGGGGAAGGATCAGAGCAGCCACGGACACCTGACAGAACCACGGAGATAAAGATGTGGACATTCTTTTTTTCATATCTGCTTATTGGCCTCTCAAATACGATAGTGTAGTCAAAACATTCCAGGATAAACAGGAGCTAAGGGATTTTGACAAAGCCAACCCTGTGATGAAAAAACCTAAAGGGAATTCTGTGGATAGAGAACCAACAAGTACAGACAACAACCAGAGATTGACGTACGTGGCAGCATCACCCAGAAGTCAATCAACAAATGGAAGAGTCGAGAACAGAATAAGACTGTAAGAATAAATTCAGAGGATCTGGGAGGTCAGACTATGATCCAAACAATTACAGTGTGAAAGAAGCTCAACACAGCAGAACAGAAATCTAGGTGGTGGGAAGGTCAGATAGATTACAGGATAAAATATAAAATAGACTGTCTTAAATGGAGGGAAAATTTAATGGAATATAAGGTAACCACAACGGTGGGGTTGGGGTGAAATGTTTTGGGGAGGTGGAGGGAGGCGATGATAGAGCACAGTAATGAAGCTTCATAAAAAGTAATGTGACTTTACCTTTTTAACACACATAACATTTGATGACTAGTAAAACATGGAAATGAAACATTAAAAAAAAAAAAATTCAGTGTATCAGAACATTTGCCACTATGCTAATTAAGATGAGTTGGTTGAGTTTCACTTGGATTCTAACAGCTTTATATTGCTAATACTTTATATTAGCTTTATATTGCTAATACAGCCAAAATAAATAGCCAATATCACGCTAAAGTTGTTTGAGTAAATGTTCTGATCTTCCTGAACCTCAGCTTTCTCGTTTGAAATGAAGAACAGAAACCCAAACCTTAGTGTTTTAATTTTCTATGGCTTTACTTTATCTTCCTCGTTTCAGGATTTTGCTTACCACTTTACTGTGTTTGTCTTCTACTTTGGAGCCTTTTTATTGGAAGCAGCAGCTACATCCCTGCATGATCTGCAATGCAATACAACCGTGGCTGTGCAGCCACTTCTGAATGATAACCAGTATAATGTCAACGTTGCAGCCACAGTAAGTGTCTAATGAGTACAGCCCCCCACCACCCCATCACTTCCCCCCCATGCCAAGTTCTCTAACTTAGGCAAAAGTAACTCTAGCCATTAAATGGAGTATTCATTGTTTTCTGTCTGCCCAGGTGATGAAACTGAGACACAAAGAGGTTGACATTCCTGTAGGAACATAGCCAGTTTGAAGGCATTGGTGGGCCAGTTTGCAGATTGGAAGTGTTTAGGACAAAGGTTTGTTAGTGGTACGCCATTATAATTCTCACCCGTAGGTAGTTGTCTTCAGCCTTGCTGCTTATTCTAGATGAAATAAGAACAATTCCTGTGGAAGGTGTGGTTGACTACCTGAGCATGTAAAAAGGCAGAGCAGGGCCCTGTGTTGTAGTACTACTGTACCCACATAGAATCATTGTGCTAGAGAAGAGAGAAAGTGGAGTTTGGAGTCAGGTCTTACCCAACACAGGCTACTTTGTACAAAGACTTAATTGAGCTTTCTTTACTTCTCGTAGCTTCACCTATTTTTAAGGAGATGTGTTTTTATCTGTGTCCTTCATTGTTCAAAACCTACATGTAATTCATTTTCATTCCATAACTATTTATTGGAAATCTACCATTTGCTGATGTTGGGGACAGGAGTGAATGAATTGCAGTCCCTTCTTCCTAGGAAAGGGCAGCCTAGTGGGGGAGGCAGACAAGCCAACCATTATAAGCTAATCTAAAAAACAAACCCACTCTCATCAAGTGGATTCTGACTCTTGTTGGTATTAACTGCCATTGAGTGGATTCCAACTCATAGCGACCCTATATACGGTTTCCAAGGAGTGGCTAGTGGATTTGAACTGCCAAAATATTGGTTAGCAGTTCAGTGCTTATCCTACAGCACTATTTATATAGAATTTCTGGAACTATAATTTTTTTTTTTTTTTTTTTATGAGAACAGCTAGCTTCATCTTTCTCCCACTGAGCGGCTGGAGGACTTGAACCCCTGACTTTGTGGTTAGCAGTCAGTCCAACACTAGCACACATGCCACCAGGGATCCTTACAATAAATGATACTGTTTTTGCTATTAAGGGCCATTGAGTCGGTTCTGACTCATAATGACCCTGTATAGGGTTTCCAAGGAGTGGCTGGTGGGTCTGAACCACCAACCTTGCAGTAAACAGTCCAATGCTTATTGTACAGTGCCACAATAGATGATACATAGATGAATTTCATTCTGGAATGAGCTTGTTATTTTGCATTAATATACATTTCTAAAGAAATGATGTGAGGGGGCTTCAGAAAGTTCATGAAAAATGGAACTAAAAGATACTGGAATTTTTCCATGAATTTTTGAAGCTGCCTCATATATTGTTTCTGGTCCTTGTAGATAATTTCTTAAGATAGCAAATGTCATTGTCTTTCTCATTAGCATTCATTTCCCTAAGAATCCAGCATAGTGTGACTGTTCTGGCAGTCCCTCTTTTGTGACTTTGTCCCTAATATTCTTCCTCTTTATGTACCTACAAGAGAGTTTCAAAAAGTTCATGGAAAAAATGGACTTAGAAGATAGGGCCTTTAGTCCCAAATGGCTTGAAGCCCCATGGATAAAGTTCTTTATCTCTCTGCCTTAATAAGCCCATAAATCCTTCAGGTTTTACACTGAGTCCAAAAACATTCCCTCCAGTCTAAGTAAATCTAGTTTCTGAGTTTTAATCGCACTGAAATGTGTGAGCCATTCTTTTGTGACATGATATTAGAAGCTCTTCATTTTCATTTTTATTTTAATATACTTGAGAGAGAGGAAACGTCATTTTCACTAATAGTAAGTGTCAAAAATGATTACTTTCTTTCAGAGGACAGTTTCTAGACTAGAGATCTTTCAGAGAGATGGTCATCAGGCAAAGGGTGTGGAGAAGAGCAGAACAGGAAACTGAGCATGCCCTGTTGGTTTTAAGTGCCATCAAATTGATTCAACCCATAACCACCCTGTATAGGGTTACAAGGAGCAACTGGTGGGCTTGGACCACTGACTTTGTGGTTCAAACTGACCTTGCAATCCAGCACATTATTCTCTAGCGCCACACTGGGACTCTGAAAATGTCATGTAGGTGAATCCAGTGTTCGTCTCAGTTATTGTTTCCTGGTTAACAATCCCCGCACTAAATCATGCCATTGTATCATATTCAGCTCTTTGGTCTTGGATTTTCTATGGATCATAAATCCCCAAAATGGTGTGGACAATGTCTCTATTTATTTATATGGACCAAGTGTAGTGCTTGGCACATAGCTGGTACTAAAGAAACCCTTGTTGGCTATCGAGGGCAGTCGTGCAAGGCAGAACACAAACTCATGCACAAGGGCTCCTGCCCACACAATAGGGAGAGCAACGTCCCGATGCTTCCTTCCCACCCATTGTCTTTGATCACTGTGAAATCACATTCTATTGTCACAGAAGCCATGCGCTGCCTCCCTGAGTTGTGACAGTCATTGTCATCATTGCCCGAGCTCACTGTCTAAAACAGTTCTTTTAATACAGTGGCCAAGTCTTTCACAAAAACTAACAAGTGAGCCAGTTTGTGAACAGATAGATGGTCAGCATAAGCTGCCCACCAATGAGAGAACTAATAGAGGTGTGGCACTGTAGGATGACACTCTACTGCAAGGGTCATTTGAATCGTAAGGTCAGTGGTTCAAACTCCCAGCAGCTCCTCGGAAACCCTGTAAGTCAGACCCAACTTGACAGCATTTAACAACAACAATATGAATGCTTAAAAGAAGAGTGATGTTGTAAGAAGAGAGGATGAAGCAGTAATATAAACTATATCCAGACAAGGGAACTATAAAACATTTCTGGGTTTGATAGTGCTCAAATCACTGTTCCTTAGGAGGATGGTTCCCTTAGAGTTATAAGTCTGATGTAAATTTTTCTTTCTTTTTTCTTAGATTTTTGCCTTTGTGACAACAGCTTGTTACGGTTGCAGCTTGGCACTGGCTTTACGAAGATGGCGACCGTAACACTCCTTAGAAACTAACTCTCCGTGTGTCCATTTCATTTATGTACTTCATATGTCTTAGCAACTTGGGTACCATTTTGTCCAGATGTAATAACATATTACAGAAGTATTTGTTTTTTGTTTTGCTTTATTTTTAATACATAGAATCTAAGTGCAATTTTTGGTTTATTTCATGGGTGAAATCTTAATTCTTTGATGTTCAACAGAGAAATGGTTATCATTTCACTTTTCAATTCTGCACCTATGTTTAAAAAAAAAAAATTATTCTTTATCTCCATAAAATAAGCAGTTATTCTACATAAAAAGTATTATTCATTCTATGTGGGTATTGAATCACCTGTACCTTAATTCTAGTAGGTAACAAAAACTCCCTTAAACTATGTTTAAAATAGGCTTCTACTGAATCTTTTTGTGTAAAGCAGGGACCAGCATACATTTCTATAAAGGACCAGATGGTAAATACTTTCATCTTTGAAGGCCATATAGTGTCTGTGACAATTAATCAAGTCTGCTATTGTAACATGAGAGCAGCCATAGACGACCTATGAATGAATGAATGTGGCTATGATCCAAGAAAGCTTTATTTACAACATCAGGCAGCACCTGGACTATGGGCCATCATTTGCTGACCTCTTTTATAAAATCCTAGTTCTCTGTTCTGTATTTTATTGAACTGAAAGGTATAAAACCAATTTGATAAGCCACACAGTAGTTACTTTCATTATGCAATAATCACACTGCCTTTGTGTTAAGTGGTTGACAGGTTACCTTTGGAGGAGCACATTGTCTCTCAAGTGACTTCAAGCACAGTCTCGGGTACAGGGGACAAGTACTTTGAACCCTAGCTGCATAATCTAACTAAAGCTCTCCTTACAGTGGAGTGAGACTCATCGGTGCCCTTAGAACAGAATGCTTAGAGACCAGGAATCACTACTAGGACTGATACATAGCTCCTTATGTCTTACTTTGAACTTATTTATGCTTCAGTATACAGTTGCATGCCCTGTGCACGAATATTACAAATACCTGTACGTGGATATGTGAAGCTTTTTGAAACAGAACTCCTTGAATTTTTTTTTTTCTGATTATTTTGCAATAAGTTTTAAGTTAACTATAAATAGAGTATTAAATACAGCTAAAGGTTGGGGGTTCTTACCTATTTTAATAATAGCCTACATTGCCTTTGAGTTACTGACAAGTACATGAAATCAATCTTAGAAAGAGCAATTGACACACACAAAAATTGTCTTTTGCTGAATAACACGAAGAAATATTTCAACCTACCTATATAAAGACCCTGGTATGGCACTGTAGGATAAGCTCTGGCTTGGTAATCACAAGGCTGGCAGATCAAATCCAACAGCTGCTCTCAGAAACCTTATACAAGGTTGCTATGAGTCACGACCTACTCGACAGCACACAGCAACAACAGACAACATCTAAAGACCCTGTAGTAGAAAGGCACCCCATGGCTTGAATGGGAGTGCAAGAGAGTCAGCCCAGGACCTTCCACACTGTCCAAGTAGGGAGCTTGCTCCTTGACCCAAGAGGTCTGCTTCAGGAACAGAGGGCTTTTTGATTACCGTGTTCTTTCAGCCCTTTGCTTCTAAGCTAACGCAACTCAGTGAATGCCATGAATAAGTTGGGCTACCAGACCTTATGGAACAGATTCACCATGAATAAGCAGCATGATTCACATAGGAATAAACTGGTTATAGAAAGAAACCCCGAGAAAGGAGAATCATGTGATAGTTTTATTTGTGATACGACTTTAAAGGCAAACGGTGTCTTTGCATATGTAACTAGAAAAAATCAGCCCTAACTGCTCCATGCTCATGCCATATCTTTTGTATAATATCTTTCGTTTTTGGTATTCCTAGCTCCATACCATGCACTAAACCTGTAATAGGATGTACATTACAAAGACAAAAATGTGCCATAAGAATATATAGTCCATTCTAGGTGAAATTGTGTAAAATTAGGCTGCTAGATTTAGCTTTGAGATTTTATTTTTGTTTCTAATATATAACAGAGCCATGCTTGGTAGCATTAAATAAAATGATTTTATTAAGATGCTTTGGTGGCACTTTTGTAAACAGATCGCTTCTAGATCATTAAGAACCAAGTCTAAAACTCATCTAACTGTGAATACTTACATTTATCCATCAATTGCATTCTGGATTTGTGAACTGAATGACAAAGTGCTTGAACCAACAGCATGGCATTCAGAGTTTCCTTATATACCTTAGCTATAAAAATGAGAAAGGGTTGGTTGGTTTAAAAATCTAGTTACTCCATGAAGAGAAATTTATTTTATAAGTGTTATGACTCTAATAAAGTATCCATTTGATAATTTTTGGTCTTTTTTTTTTTTAAATAAAATTCACTACGAAATTCAGTTCAAAGGGTAATATAAACTTGGCAGATTAAAAGTTTCTAGACTTGTGTAGAAGAGTTCTGCTTGAAGCATTTCTATTTAAAGAAAGTCTACCCAGGTAAATGCCAGCCTTTATTCTTTGATGCCAATGAAAGCAGCAAGTCTTAAGAAACAGTATTCCTAAGAAAGATTCAATGAACAATATGTTCATTTTATTTAGAAAATATATATATCATTACTGTGTGCCAGACACTGTTCTGAATGTTTTTGTAAGTATTAGCTCATTGAGCGTTTTTTAAAGTGTTGGCTCATAACAATCCTATAAAGAGCCCTGATGCCACAGTGGGTTAAGCATCAGGTTTGTTAACCACAAAGTTGGCAGTTCAAAACCATCAGCTGCTCCACAGGAGAAAGTGAAGGTAATCTGTTCCCATGAAGAGTTAACAGTCTCAGAAACCCTGAAAAGCAGTTTGACTCCGTCCCATATAGAATGGACTCCCTGGCAGTGGGTGGGGCTTATTAACCCTAGAAATACTGCTATCCTGTTTTAAAGATGGGGGTCACTGAAACACAGACCTGAAGAAGCACCCAGGGTCACATACCTAGCAGGTGACGCCACAGTTCACACACCAGCAGTCTGACTTCCAAGACGAGGCTGATAGTTGCTGTGTTCACCTCAGTTGTCCCACACTTTACATATTTCCTACATCAAAAAATGTAGAACCTGGTCATGACCCTTTTTTCCCCAAGGAAGCTTTTGGCAGGATGTTCGGTGGCATAATTGATTGTGGATGGTGCCATCTTGTAGAACTTTAATTGTGACTAAACAAGGACTCTTTTAGCTGTAAGAATTTTGTTTCGTTTAGCTGTAATGTAAGCATTTTGGCCATATCCTCACCATGGGGAGAAGCAAACTGCAGACTTAAGCAAAGGTGCTGGACAGGCTTGACTGCCTGATGATCTCTCTGGACTCTGTTTCTGGACAGTCGTTACCTCTGGCACGGACTGGAAGGACCCTCATCTCCATCATATCAAGTCAGCCCCTCCTGAATTGGCCCAGCTGCTTGATCACTTCTGGAACTGACTTCAGAAGGGATTTCTAGTCAATCCACTCTTCACATTTGGCTATGAATCACTACCTCTCTAGAGGCCAGAATCAGAAAAGCATCTTCTTGTGAGCTCTCCCCTTAACATCATACTTCAAGTTTGTCACAAAGTGCACCCTCATCTTAGGTAGCAGCTTAAGGTATTCACAGAGGAAAGATGATGGCAAGGCAAGCATCTTAAGAATATATACTTTTTATGTTTTGACAGTTGAGCTTTTTGAAAGAAGCATTTTGCTTGGACAGCTTAAGCTGTACTCCAAGCAATGGGTCAACGCAAGTTCTCTCTGAAGCATTCTTTTCGTGGATGTTTTCATCGTGTGCTTCCTCACCCTGCTGGGTCTTTGCTCCGTGAGGCCTGCCTTGAAAATGCTACTTAAACTTGAGTCCTTTACCTTATTTCCTGTTCTCCTTCCCTACTATATTTTTCTCTGGTATTTATGATGATCTGTGATAGCATATAGGCTATTTGTTTTGTTTGCCCTCTTCTAGAATATAAGATTTATGGAGAGAAATTATCTGCTTTGTTCATTGTTGTGTCCCTTAAACTTACTGCCACCAGATCCATTCAGACTCATAAAACCCTTGTATTGATAGGATTTCTGAGGCTCTGGTAGTGTAGTGGTTATGAATTGGGCTGCTAACCTCAGGGTCAGCAGTGCAAAACTACCAGCTGTTCCATGGGAGAAAGATGAGGCTTTCTGCTCCTGTAAAGATGTACAGCCTCAGAAATCCTGTACAGGGTTGCTGTGAGTCAGAACCAACTCCATGGCACATAACAACAAATCTTTTCCGAAGCAGAAAGCCTCATCTTTCTCCCTTGGAGCTGCTGGTGGGTTTGAACTGCTGACCTTGTGATTAGCAGCCTAGTACTCACCCTACAGCGCTACACCAGGCTTCTTGTTATGTTCCTAATGTCTAGGATTGTTATTGTTAACTGCCATCGATTCAGCTCTTAGCTCACAATGGTCACAGGTACAACAGAACAAAATGCCCATTTTGAAATGTTGTAGGCCAGTTGAATCTGACTCATAACGACCCTATAGGACAGGATAGAATTTCCCTCTAAGGATGCCAGGGTTGTAATCTTTATGGAGGCAAACAGCTAAATGTTTCTTCCACAGAGAGGCTGGTGGGTTTAAACTGCTGGGTTTTCAGTTAGCAGCTGAGCATTTAGCCACCCCACCATCAGAGCCTGATCTTATATCAAACGATTTTCTGTTTAATCCACATGGTTCTCATTGGTGAATTTTCAGAAGTAGATCATCAGGCCTTTCTTCTTAATCTGTTTTAGTCTGGAAGCACCACTGAGACCTCTCCTCAAGAGCAGACTGCTGGTATTTAAGCTCCTGGTGGCATAGCATTCAATGTCATAGCAACATGCCTAGAACAGGACATACCAAATCAGCATGGAATAACTCTTTCTCAAATTCACAAATCCCTGAGTATTAATGACAATACCTTACTCTTGTGTTCCAGTAAATGTATGTGAAAAGTTACCCTTTTAAAGTTGAAAATGTC